GGGGGGGGGGGGGGGGGGGGTTGGTTTTTTTAATTCTCTTCATGGTTATAAAGGCAGTAAACATGAAACATTCTTTCATCTCTTTACACTGCTAGATTTGTCTTTCTGCTTATGTAAGAAGCACTCGCTTTGAAAGTTTCATAATATCTGTTCATATATACATATTAATTTTGTTAATAATACCAAGATAGAGAAATGCTGACATTTAAAACATTTCAGTAATTGTTCTGAGGAGAAACACCCAGCTAATATGCTTTCACTCCCCTCTTAAATTGCCCTGAGCTGCTCAGAGCCCAAGCTCTTCAGCTGACTCCTGCCTGCCAGACCTTTCAGCTCATCTCTGCCAATTTCAGCAATGCAATTATGCAGTTAAAATGCACAAATCTACATCTAACAAAAAACAATTTTGAAAACAGCATAAAGTTCTGAGTAGCAAGTAAAGACTCGGTGCTGGTACTGTTTGTATCGTTAACATTCATGTCAAATTCATTCAAATCCTCAATGTTTTAATTCAATTGGCCATGGAATTTTTCAGGCAGCAGCATTAAGGTATCACTTGTCATGTAGCATACATGGTTTTAGCCATAGTGGTATGGACCTTTCGTCACTAGCAGAGACCTAGTAGTAAAAGCTTATTGTTGTTTTAAGTAAGCAAATACAAGGATGAGGTTTCTCAAAGGAACTGTAGTTCAGGGTTTTCTTTCTTAACATTTCACCATAAAAATTTAAATATCCATATTTATTCTGCTACTACTGCTATGGTAGCTTAGTCACTAAAATGACAATGCCCCTGTGCAGCTGTTTTGTCTGTTTGATGCATTTTAATATAGTAGCCGTGGGCACATCCACACATGCAAGCATGTGTGCTTGCAGCAGCTTAAATAGAAGTGGTGCAAATTTGAGCTGGGGCTTTTTGCCTCAGCACGCATGCCCAGATGTGCACTTTACTGTGGTGCAAGTTGTGCCACTTGGGGCAAAATAACCCTGCTTGGCTCCTTCTGCATATGCAGCCAGAGAGACCTAGAGCTTGGGGCCAGCACCTATGCTGGCCCCAGTAATATACAAAGCTGCCCTGTCCTGGTCCAATCAGTACAAAAAGCTGCCCTGGCAAAGTAGCTTAGTGCTCTCGGGAGCTTCTGGGGCCTGGCCAGTTGGTACCTGGGGACACTACTCCTTGTGCCAGCTGGACTGCTGAAGCAGCCCTGAGTTCCCTGCACCCTCTACCCGCTGCAGGGGTCTGACAGTGGGGGGTTGCTGCCTGGCTATGACCTCCTGCCAGCTCTGACAGCATGTGGTCCCAAGGCTGCATACCTGCCAGACCTGGATGGGGACTACACAGCCAGTAGAGGTATCTGCCCCTCTGGGCCAGCTGCCAGCGGGCTGTGGCTGCAGAGTTGGCCTTTGTGCGGCACTACTGCCATGTGTGCCCCTGCCTGCTTTCAACTGGAAGATGTTCTCACTATGGTGGCCTGCTTTGAACTACCCTCCATCCCCCACTTGCATGGCCCATGTACCCCACCCCCACTTGCTCTCCCAGCACCCCAGTTTGCTGCCCCACCCATCCCCATCCCCTGCCGGTTCCTGCAGCGCCCCCCATGACTGCCCCACCTGGCCCTATCTCCTGCTTGCACCCCCAGGACCCCTGATGGCTGCCCTACCCAGCCCCAGCCTCCCGGCACCCAAAAAACAAAACAAAAAGCCCCACACTCACCGGCAGTAGTAGCAACTGTCGGAGTCACTGGGATCTCCTGGCAGTGACACCCCCCCTCCCCCGCCCCCCAACAGCACGGGCCAGTGGGGACTGGCCCTGGGTGCCTGGCACCCACACTGCCACTGCCCCATCACACAGGTGTGGCCTAGGTCAGCAGGGCACCATGTGGCTCAGCGCCACTGGGACCACTGTAGCTGTCACCCAGGACCCAGCACCACTCAGCTCAAGTGTTCCTAGCTGCCTGACAGCATGCGGAGCTGCATGGCACCTTGCCGACCCAGGCTATACCCATGCAATGGGGCAGTGGCAGTGCAGGTGCCAGGTGGCCAGGGTGGTCCCCGCTGCCCCACGCTGTGTGGGGGCTTTGCCAGGAGGCTCTAGTGACCCCAATGGCTGCTGCTACTGCTGGTGAATGTGGGGCTTCCTTTTTATTTATTTTTAATTGCTGAGATGCTGGGGCCAGGTGGGGCAGCAGTGGGGGTGCTGCAGGAGCCTGCAGGCAACAGGGCCAGGCGAAGCAGTGATTGGGGGGGGTTTGGGGGGCAGACAGGGGATGGGGCCAGGCAAGGCAGCGATCTGGGTGGCTTTGGGAGTGGGTGGGAGCTGGGGCACAGGCAGTCAATATGCTTCAGCAATGGGGCGAGGGCCAGCCATAGAGATGCTCTGGCTAGCTACCAGAGCGTCTCTGTGGAGGACCCAAGCCTCTGGTTGCATCAGGGCACGGTCCTGGATCATGTCCTGCCCAGCATTTTTTGACCCCTGGTCCAAGGGTCTAATTTTGCCCCTGTACTGCAAATTTGCAGCTCAGGGAACACTTTTTTTTGTTCCCGCATGTGCCTCTTGCAGTATCTCAAAGGGCTTTGAGATGCTGCAAGAAGCATGTGCGCACGTATCTGGATGTGACTCATAAGAGAGAGAAACAGTCTTTGTGTAAGAAAACATAACAGTTGATTGTCTTTTGTAGCACTTCTTGAGACTGTCCAAACTCTTAACGTCACCTAGTATGTTAAGTATATTGTTTATGAAAAGAACATTGATATAATGTTTGGGATAATTTGTCAGTATGGTCTTATTTGTGAGTTCATTGAATCTTTGCCAGAGTCCTGTTGATTTGAATACAAAACACTTTGGCTAATTCATCATTTACTAAAGCATAGTCATTTCCATATATACACAAATACTAAATCACAGTGGAATATGCTCCTTAACTTAAAATGTGCTAGGGTCCCCCCCACCCCCCGGTTGTTTTTTTATGATTCACTCTGAAGGATGAGATTGGTGGTCTATTGCAAAAATAGATGCATACGTGGATTTTCAGGGAATCAAGCAAGGGGGAAATAGCACTGCATTTATGCTCGTAAATTAACTTGCATGCCTAATAAGTGAAATAGAATCTGGCCTTAAGTTTATTTGTATCCAAATGTATGTATATCCAAAAGTGTTTTTTTTCTAGGAAAAACAGGAGAAGCATTGAACACCAAATATTTTGACATGTGGGGAGGAGGTAAGTGTCATGAAGTATTTCCTATGGAGAGAGAACTTATATGGCAAAAATAGCCTCTGATTTGTTGTCTAAATAGACCATCAGTCTGTCAATTCATGTATACCATCATAATCATGAGGAGAGGACAGTTGAAAGGAAACACAAAAATCTTTTGTTATCTACATACAATGCATACAAAAGCATTTGCTCTCCTGACCAACTGTCATACTCAATATGCTCTAACAGTAAGCTCTAAAAATCTACATGTGCCAAAATGGCACACTGAGTATGCTGGTAAGAGTTAAACTTATTTTCTAGATGATTAACATGGTTCTTGTATTACATAATTTTGGCTTATTTTCCCCTTGTGTTCATTTGGTACTGAGATTGCTTTCTCAACCTGAGCAACAGCATCTTTACCCTGTAGAATTTAAATGGAAAATCGGTCATTATATTATTAGAATGAATAGATGAACCTGCAGCTATACTATTAAAGAGTAGCCAGTCAACTTAGTCACCTCTTTGTTTTTTCTGCTTAATTTGTTAATATTCTTATGAAGAATACCTCAAATTTAGTTACCATTGTGGATTTCTTAATAAGGTGTAGTTACGTATTATGAAGTAATTTTGTGTGTTCTGTTTCTCTTCAGATGTGGCACCATTTATTGAATTCCTAAAGTCCATTCAAGATGGAACTATAGTATTAATGGGAACCTATGATGATGGTGCAACCAAGTATGTATGAGCCAAATGTACATACAGTATATTTTTAAATACTGTATGTACAACCCCTCCTTTCTCTCCCCCCTGCATTCTTCATAAAACACATTTGTAGAAATGTCCTGTTTCCAGGTAAATGGCACTGAAACTATCCTTTTTTTATGAGAACATTTCATCATACGATGATCTTGGATGTCAGTCATACTCCATACGGTTACAAGTTGTGCAGGAAAAATAAATCAGATTTATGTATCTGCATATACATGTATTTGCATATGGAGATACTATGATGCATATATTTTTGTGACCGCTCAGGTATAAAGGAATGATAAATTAGGTAACAAAGGATTTTATTCCCCAGTTAATATGTTCTATACATTACTGTAGCATTGAAACGACTAAATATCTCACCTGGTCATCTTCTGTAATTGTGGCAATAGATCATACTTTTTTTTATTTTCCTAGTACAGAAACTGCTCACATGAAATCAAAGTGGTGAGGTCTGTTGTCTATTCATTTGTTGAATGTGTAGGTTTACATACATAAAAAAAAATGGATCTTGGGTCTCAACTTTCTGAAAATTGGGTTTTAAATCAATGCAGGAAAATAATTTTAGAGAGAAGATGACCATCATGCCTTAGTTGATTCCCTTTCTCACAAATATTATACTTTGTTCCTGTATATGAATGAGATGGTAGCACTTGCAGTATTTCAGTAAGGTACAATAGAGTATGTTTAGTATGCCATGCAGACAAGGAGATGATGTCAGACAAGTTGCCAGAACACCAGAGGTTTCACCAACAGCCAGATTTAATGCATGCTATTCCTTATTGCTGTTAGGGTATAGTGTATCTATTGTTTTAATATTTAAAACTAAATACACCTCCTCCCTGGCTCTATAAATCCTGTATTTGGCCACATTCATAATTTATAGGGGTGTGCGAAATGGACTGTATTCAATTCAGATTTGTCCTGAATTGGGGACAGTGATTCAATTTGTTGATTTGGATCACTGTCCCAATTTGATTCGGCCGAATCTGAAGATTCGATGCTGATTTGGAAAATCAGTGATTTGGCCATAGACACAGTTTAAATGGGTTTTTTCTACATACCTCAAGGTACCAGGCACAGCTCATGAACGCTGCTTTGCTGGGGTGGATGAAGTGTCCCCCAGGAGCGCGGGGGGCTCCCCCGCAAGCTTGGCGGCGGACTCAGAACTGAAACAGAAGTACTTCCAATCCACTTCCAGGCCTGCTGCTGAGCGTGTGGGGGACTCCCCTGTGCCCTCCCAGCTCAGCATACCAGTATTTCAGATGAGGTCTCACTAGTGCCTTGAACAATGATATTAATACATTCCTCTCGCTACTGGAAATACCTCACCTGATGTGATAAAGGAGTAGCATTTTGCCCTTTTCACTGCCACCGTAATAGTGGTTCATAGTCATTTTGTGATATATTTAAGTGAACTAATTTTTCTCCTCCTATTTAGGCCAACCAAGGAGAACAATTTTCCAACAATTTAATTGGTCTAATAAAAGATATCACATTTACCCGAAGAACCTTGTCTGCCTATGTCCTTAGGCCAAGATGGCTACAACCAACATCCCCAAATATTGTGTGGCTCTCTTGCAAGGATCTCACAGCATCCCAAAATGCCTCAGAACCCTGGTTGACAAGCACTGGTCTAGAAAAATGGAGGTTGAGAGGAGATATGATTGCTCACTTTGAGAGTAGACTAGCAGGAGGCATAAAATCTATTTAAGCTATTTAATCTGTTTTTTCCCAGCATTGGCACAAAACAATTGTGTATGAATGAGCTAGAAATTAAGAGAAGGTTTCTAATCGGAGTAGTGAGGTTCTTCCAGGAGGCATCCTCAACATCTAAACTAGTTATTAACATGAAATTTGACTACAGTAGAGAGAGGAATGACAAGTTTGCCTGGTATAGTAGGAGTCATGGTGACCCAGAAGATCTGTTCCAGCCCTGTTCTTACAATTTTTAACTATGAAAATACTTTCTTGGGGAAGGAAGAAATAAGTGAAAAGGCTATGAGCAGCTTTTCCCTATGGTTAGAAGTATACTTAATCATTTCTAACATTTTTCCTTAACTTTTTTAAAGTTCTCCTGACCCATCCTTCTTCTCTGTCCAGACCTCACTAGTTATTTCTTCAGTTGCAGATTATAGCACAAAAGCCACTTGCAGTGGTGAAGCCCACACATGTAATACTGGACAATTTCCACATTAGTTTGTGGAAGTACAAGTGTACAGGTGACTGCATTTTCTCAGATTGCTGTTCCTAGGAGAAAAGTGGCTTTTCCCACACTTCTACCGTTAAGTCTCCCCACCCCACCTTTCATTGGCCTGTTACCTGTTTTCTTTGCTCTTATTACATCCATTCATGATATTTAACAGAATATATGCAACAATTTCTTTTGTTTCAGCAATTGTATCCCAACAGCGTATTCTCAAGTGCTGGTGCATAGGTGCGAGACCAGCATAAAAATGCAGCAGGCCATCAGAAATATGGATCAGTCTCTGTCAACAGCCTTGTTCTAATGCTCATTTTAGGAATGTGATTAACATAAACTTTCTTTGCACTACATCTTGGCAGTCAAAACTGGCTCATCTTGTCAGTAAAGCAGTGTTGGTAGGATGCAGCCACCTAAACATTCTATGCAGTCCTGGACCAATAGTCCACAAAATATCAATACTTGTATTTATGGTCTAGGTTAATATGTACTTTCTAGAGTTCATACCATCTGATTGTACCACATACTCTTAGTTTATAACAGCCCAAAGCTTTGTAAAGTGCCTGGAAACTAAAATTGGGATAAGGACTTTTACTGATCAAAACTTGCAGGAGGAAATACAGAAGACTTGCTTCATAAGTTATAGAAGAAAGCTTGTCTCTTATGCCATTTGTCTATTTTAATTAGCCTATCCAGAGTTATAATCGCAGCAAGGGATAGTATCGTTAATGATGCTGTGTGTTGTCTTTTATTTAAGATCAAACTAAATGGTCAGAGACCCCTCGCATATAATTGCTTATACCATTAAAAATGTAATAAGTATAAAACTTACAGAAAAACATAACACTTTACCTGTTTTTCTTATAATTTGTATTTCACCAGATGCATTTTAGAGTGATGGGTACTCTTCCAAAAATCTTTTTATATAGATACAGGCTGAGCAGGTGCTCAGATCCTGATATAGTTGTCCCCAAATCCTACAAAATGTTATGTGTATGCTTACTTCAGAGCACAGAAATCATTCTTTTGAACTTGGGTAACTGCTGACAGGGTAAGGTTCTTAGATTTTGATAGTATATTTTGTACACTTGTACTCTACATAGTCACGTTCAATAAGTGAGAGAGACGTACTCGATTCTAATTTTAGAACTCACCCAAATACCACCTAATTGAAAACTGTATTTGACTGAAATAAAAACTAATTGGTGAATTGATTAATAAAGTAAATATTTGCATATTTAACACAGTTTTATGTTTTGTTCAAGGCTTAATGAAGAGGCACGGAAACTTATCGCTGAATTGGGAAGCACGTCCATTAACAACCTTGGTTTTAGAGACAACTGGGTCTTTTGTGGTGGAAAAGGAATTAAGACTAAAAGTCCATTTGAACAGGTTTGTTGCTAACAACTTTTCAGAGTTTAAGTCATTTTACACTAGCAAGGGATTAGTCTACTTAGAAGTACCACTTACTGGTTCATGTTTTGAACAGACAATAGTGTATTCTTTTACTTTATTAATTAGCATGTAAAGTTTCATAAAGTATTTGACTTGTTTCCTCCTTTTAAATATACAAAAGTCTGCTTCAGTATGCACTTAAAAAAAATTATTTGGAGATCTATACTTAAATGGATGAATTAAGGACAGAGATAGACTTATAACTGCATCATTTTGAAGGGGGTGGAAAATACTACCACTCAGGACCATACAAAAGCCAATTTGGTGCAGTTGTTTCATTTGCCCTCTCCATTCCTCCACTAAGTGACACACAACTGCTGCTTAGTTGACTGCTTTTCATTTAGGGGTAATTGCCCTGATTTAACTTTCACTTTAACTTTCATGGACAAAACTGTCAAACTGGACTCAGCTGAACTGAAGAAATTCTACCCCCTTTCCATCTGCTTTTAGTACAGTTGTTTCATCTGCCTGTGCCTTAAAACTCTAATGCAGCTTGGCTTTTCTCTTTATAAAAGCATAATGTGTTAGACCAAAATTCATGTGCCTGAAGTTCATGGTTTAAATAAGTAATCTAATATTCCAAAGTGTTAAGCACAAAATGTTTCTAAAACACTTCTGAAAATCCAGCTACTTATTTCAGTGCTTTGTGTTCCTAAATTGATAGTGTCCAGTTGTACTTTAAATTTACCGTTGTTGCCTTATATTCTAACATGGTGGTTTTAGTACTGTTTTTTTAATTAGTGCTCATGATAAACCTGAGATTTTTATATAGAGGAGTACAAGTGAACTCTTTATTTTATAGGCAAAAATAAACCTGAAATCATTCTGCCACTCCTGGCGATTCACAGAGATAGTTGTATTTGATACCACACATGAAAGAAAAAAAACATTGTGCTGATTTGGTTTTTTTCCTGAATCCTCAAGTTTCAAGTTGGAAATCACCTACTATTTGTTTCTTTACAGTAGCTTTTAAGTAAAAGTAGCAGGACAAATTATTTTTATCTTAACAATAGGTTCTTTTCTATTTGTAGCATATAAAGAACAACAAGGACACAAACAAATATGAAGGTTGGCCAGAAGTTGTTGAGATGGAAGGCTGCATCCCTCAGAAGCAAGACTAAAACAAAAAGATATAAAAGAGACAATGTGGAAGAAAATGCACTTTCTGTTATTCTTAGGGAGAGGGATCTGAAGGAGAATACTGTGTAATGTAAATATTTTTAAAGCATGCATCCATCTTATGAGTGTGCGCATGAGCATTGACATTTTGAATATCGGGATTATTTATTGCTGACAGAGAGAAGTCTTTTTGTAAATAAATCCAGAATAAATAAGACAGTGAATAGTTTCTAAACAGTTTTCCTAAGAGCACAGCATTTAATTTGCTGATAGTAAATAATAACTTTTAGATCTACTGGCTAAGCAGTTGGGTATTCCCAGTAATAAACAGATTGGAAAGGATGCTGTACTGTCCTCTAACAGTGTAAATGTTACCTGTGAGTTACATAACCTTTGTGGAAAATGTAGATTTTAGTGTGAAATTAATAAAGAGCTTTAATTTTTTATCCTCTGCCTTTTTGATGGCAGTATCACTTTCTTTTTAAAGATAAATTCGGTTACTCTAGTACTATGTGCTCTAGAACTTTGTTTTCTGACTTCCCAGCCCAAAACTAATAATCAGCAAGAGCAAAATACTTGATATCAAAATGTACATCAGCTGTGAGAAGCACAATTAAGTTCTTTTTATTATGAAAAAGCAAAAGTAAATATATAAATGCTTGTACATGGTATTTAAAAACTGCTTGGAAGGATTTGTGTTTAACAAGGAAGTAGTGTTTACTGTGTAGAAGCTACTTGGCTTGATAATGTCTTGGCACTGTTAAGCCACTCAGTACTAGGACTAAATTGTTCAGTTTTTATTACAACTTTTTGTACCTGCTGCCTGACTATCAATTCTACCAAGAGCTACTCAGCAATACTAATTAGAAAAATGATAGAACTGCATCATGAAATGCCTTCCTGTTTAAGTTCTAATAGGAAGTAAATTTCCCAGTGCATAACGCACGTTAGATAGTAGGCTGGCACCTGATGAGAATTAAGTAATATATTCAGTTTTGCATAGTTTCACTACCTGTACTACTTCTAATGTGAACTGAAACGATCACTGGTTAGAATGGGATGCTGCAAAATGCATCACATTTTAAGATATTAATCTTATTAATCTTATGGTACTCAATATAGACTAATAATGCTTTCTTCAACCCCTTTAAAAAACTGGACCAAGTCAAAGTGGCCTTATTCCCTAGCTCATAGTAGAATAAACAACACCAAACATTTTCATAGAAAGTCATTTTTTTTTTAAATTGCTTTTGGTTTTTAGTTAGCAAGCTTTGAATGTTTTCTGAAAATGAAGTGAGCACAGGGAAACTGACAATGCAGGTGATCGCTGTGTAGAGACTAACAATTTTGTGTAATCTCTTGGAATTTGTTGCAAACACAATTCTGATAAAACTGTTCAATCCCTTTGATACCATGAGAGAGAGATTTACAGGAACTGCAAGTGAATTGAAACAAATACTGCTCAAATGCTATATAATCAGCGACTTCTAAGACAAACCTAAAATTATGCGCACTAAAAACTTACAGCAATATTGGGAATGAGTACTTTATTATATAGCTCAAAATAAATATCCACCTCTGATACAGGAATGAGGACAACTGGAATTTGAGTTGTTTTGTATGCCTAATTAGCCTATTGTGCATTTTTTTTCTCACACATTCAATGTAGAACAGCAATAAATGCACCTTATACAGTTAAACCATTTATTTGTAAAACATCATGCAGATTTTTTGTTCTTATTTAGGAGAAATTGCATCACATATCAATATCATGTATATTTTTTCATCAAATAAAGTGAAAATCCCCTCTGTTCTATAAACTGGAAGCTAACTTTTTATTTCACATTGTAAGGTTATCTAAGGAAAGTAACTGTATAGACGACAGAATTTCCAGGAAATAAGATTTCTGTATTGTCAGTATTCCATGATTCATTATATTAATCTTTACGATAATATTTGGAACAATATAGAAGATACATGGTACTTGAGATGGGACATAAAAATAATTCCTTAAGTCTTCATTATTAGTCTTCCTAGTCTGTTGTCTTAAATAGCATCTGTTTTGATCTCTGAATTTGTTTGGTCGCTCACTAAAAATGGCAGGCATTTCATTTTCAGAATTATTCTAAAATATTAAATACTTAGCATTGCTATCCCCTTGTTAAATTAATCAATCTGATCACAGTTGGTTGGGTTTTTTTTTTTTTTGAAGACTGAGGCGGCAATAGAATACTTTAAC